GGGAGCAGCAGTAGGGATGGCGACCCAAAAGCCCTTTCCTGTGGGCTGGGAGCAGCGAGAGGGATGGTGGCTGGGAAGCCCCTTCCTCTGGACCAGGAGCAGTGGGATGGCGGCTCAGAAGTCCCTACCTCTGGGCTGGGAGCAGTGGGAGGGTTGGTGGCCTGGAAGCCCCTTCCTCTGGGCCAGGAGCAGCAGGACAGAAGGTGGCCTAAAAGCCCTTTCCTCTGGGCTGGGAGCAGCAGGAGGGATGGTGACCGGGAAGCCCCTTCCTCTGGACCAGGAGCAGTGGGATGGCAGCTCAGAAGCCCCTACCTCTGGGCCGGGAGCAGCGGGACTCAGTACCTTGGTCTGGTGGTCTGGTGTCCTCTGCGTCTTTGTAGTGTGGAACCAGGTGGCTGCCTGTCTGCAGTGGGGTGACTCGGTGTGTTCTGTGCAACCCAGGACCTCAGCAGGGCGTGCACAGACCTGCCCTCCTGCAGCGGGGTGACTCAGCATCCCCTGCAAGACCCAGGACCTCCAGAAAGAATATATTTGAACCACATGAACAAACAAAAAGATAGTATATAAGAAAAACATAAAGTAACAATTTATGTAAGTACCTAACACGAGCATGCTCTTACATCTAAAACAAAAAAATAGTAACATTGGTACTATATATATATATTTGACAAGTGTACATTAAAGAAATCTCTAATATAAAACATTTAAAGTGTGGAAAATATTTTTCAAGATACAAGAAATAACTGTTAAGGTAGGCACATCCACAATTCTTATAAAAACATGCAAAGATAAAAATTCATCTGACTACTCATTTCTCAGATGTACAAAAGCTATGAAATTATTAATCACTGGATACTGCCTTTTGTTTTTGCACTGTTTTGAGTTTCAACACTGATTGGTTTGAATTCTGGCTTATATAATTACTGCTATTTTTCAGTCTGTTATGCTCCAAGAGAATGGATCTATTTAATATGAATACTTAGAACAGGAACATTATTTGTATCACAGTCACTTTTTTTTTTTTAAGGCAGTATGTTTAGAAAATAGTTATTACAAAATAGTGCTTTGGAAGATCTGAAACTTCAAATCAATGTGCTCTATTAATCATAACTAGATCCAAGAAGCCTTAAATGGAAAGAACACAAATGTAAAAAGCTGATGAATTTAAAGATTATAAAATTGGTTTCTCCATTCTTTTTTTCATGGCCCCCCCCCCCATATTAGTCTATGCTTCTCTTTCATACACAACTGGGATGAGCTGAGGAAGAGGCAGCTCTGGCCTGAACTACCTCTGTCTCTGTGTGCTCCATCTTGGTCATAGATTTTTTTTGGGGGGGTGATAATGGTGGTGCTAGGGATCAAACCCTGGGCCTTGCACATGCTAGGCAAGTTACCACTGAGGTATAACCGCAGCGCCCACCCCCAATTTTTTTCATCAATATTACAGTAGCTAAATTTGCCACAGGGAGGGACAGAAAAAAAGGGGGGGGGGCTGGGGATTTAGCTCAGCTGCGCAGCACCTGCCTTGAAAGCACAAGGTCCTGAGTTCAATCCCCAGTACCACACACACACACATACAAAAATAGAGATCACAGTGTGGGAGGGAGAGAAAGAGGGAGGGACAGAGACAGAGACAAGACAAAGATAAAGACAGAGACAGAGAGAGAGAGACAGACAGCTAAAGACTGTGGCTTACAGTTTGCTCTGTCTTCTTGGAGGTCCCAGGAGAGTTTTTTTGTGGGGAAGCCTCAAGACTGTATCTCTTCATTTGGGATTTTTCAAAGAGAATCTGGTAGCCCTGTAAGATGCTTTAAGGATAAAGAAAGAGGGCTGGGGATTTAGCTCAGTGGTTCTGCCGCCTGCCTGCCTTGTAAGTGGAAGGTCCCGAGTTTGATCCCCGGTACCAGGAAAAAAAAAAAGAATGATTGTGAAAATCTGAATGTTTACATGACTTAGTAGAAGCATGGAGACTGAAGAAAAAACAGATCTCAGGCAATGGTAGGTTAGGAAAAAGAAAACAGAAAAATTTATATATCAAAATAGACTTGGAATCAGGAAAACTGAATTCCACTCTTGGCTGTATTGTCTTGTATAAGTCCTTTTCCTCTCTTGGGCCTTTGGAAAATGAAGTGGTTTGGGTAGGAGAAACTTAGAGTATACATTAGCTTGACAGTTCTAAGATTCTCAAAGATTCCCACATAGTTTAGTTAAATTCAGGAATTGATAAGAAAGACTGAAAATGTAATACCTTTGCCCCACCTAGCTGAATTATGAATCAGCTTTGTTCTAGGACATATAACAATCTTGGGGAATTACAGGTCATCGGTAAAGAGTTTCTTCACCCGTATAAAATGTAATGACCTTGCCCATTCACACAAGCAAGAAATATTAACTAGTTTAAACAGAGCTAGGCAATATCATAAATGGTCATTGCATTTGATTTTGCCTTTCATTTTAGAATAGATAGAACATGCACTAAAATTACATCTATCGTTAACTATGTCTATTGTGAAAATAAAAAGTCAGCCTGCCTTAGAAGGACGTGAAATTCCAGAATTCAAAACAGGACCCCATCCTCTTTGTTCCAATTGTTTTCTCTACCTTCTATCAGATACCTGAAATTCCAACATTCATGCTTCTGGTTTTGACCTTAGGACTACAAGTCCTAGTAGAGAAGTAACAACGTTAGTGAACTCCTTCTCAATCTTTCCACTAATAAGCACAGTTTTCATTATTTTTTCCTCCTTTTTGGGTTTCATTTTTTTTTCTTTCTTTTTTTTTTTTCCCATGATGCTGGGAATCAAACACAAGACCTTGCACATGCTAGGCAAGAGCTCTGCCACTGAGTTATACCTCCAGTGCTCCCAATTTTTGATAGAACTCATCCCCTGAAGTTTCAGGATAATCATAAGGAACTAAATCCAAGGACAGTTAGTTATACTATGTGGAGGACTTTTACCTGCATTATTTGAGCCTATAAACAATCTTATGAAGTAGTCATGATTGTATCAACTTTGAAAATGAGAAAGACTGAGCTCAGAATGCTTAACTAACAAAAAGAGAGTGACTAAGATGGGATTTACATCAAAGCTGATCCAAAGCCTGGGGCCTGGGCTAGGGGAGAGGATATCACAAAAGGAGCAAAGGTTGCAGAATAAAGAAAACCTCACCTCACTCCTAATATGGCAAGAGTGATGTCAGTATCATATTCTACTTTTAATGACCTGTAGAGAATTTATTTAAGTAAAGGAAATTTACAATAATCTTGGTTGGAGAGCCTTTGGGAAATGTTACAACACTCCTTGAGATAGTTCACCATATCTGGCAGCACTGACCTGCTGCCTTAAATATTTGCTTGTGTTCCTTGTGATAATTAGCACCAAGTATTACTGTGTCAAAGCATTTGCATAGATCACTTCTTATCCTTGTAATAATCCTAAAAGTTGGGTGTTGCTATCTCCATTTTACAAGTGAAGAAATTAAAGATTAGAGAAACAGAATGTCTTGCTCAAAGTCAAACAAGTAGTAGGGCTGGGGATTTAGCTCAGTGGTTCCGGCGCCTGCCTCGAAAGAACAAGTTCCCAAGTTTGATCCCCAGTACCAAAAAAAAAAAAAAGTCAAACAAGTAGTATGAGATAGTCTGGGAGTCAAATCCAGGGGAGTCTGAACTCACAGTCCATGCTCTTCCCTCTACAGTACATGGTTGTGGGGCAAGAAGGTGAGTAGTTGAGTCATTGAGAACATCTTACTCTTTTGGGAATTGCAGTAGAGATATCTGTCACTCAATATTTTTGTTCTTTTCACATTTTCCTGCCTTCTTGCCATTTGGTTGTCCATGTGACTAGTTCTATTCAAGGGGCTGTGGATAAAATTAATGGTGTTACTTCTAGGCAAACAAGCAGAATGTTATGCGTGCTCTTTAGATTCTTTCTTCCCCTGAAATGGCAACTGTGGAAAGATGTCACAGAATCTGTCAGTCTGGGGTTCTGATAACCATGAGGAGCAGAGCTTCTTGCTCATGAGTAAATGAGAAACAGCCCCTATGTTAAGTCCCTAAACCAGTGATGGTGAACCTTTTAGAGACCGAGGGCCCAAACAAAACCCCAAATCCACTCATTTATTGCAAACAGCCAACACTGCAATTAAACCCAAATATCGAGGTGTTAGTCTAGAAAAAACAACTCATACATTAACATCTTTTGTCTTAAAAGAAAAACATAACACACATGCCATAGGCTCACCACCAGTGCCCTAGACATAACTTAGTCTATTCTGACTAATGCAGGTGTTTTCATTACAGTTAGAATTCAGGACTGACTAGGGGTACAGTTCAAAGATAGAGTGCTTGCCTAGTAGGCAAAAGGCTCTGGATTCAGTTCCCAGCGCACACACACACACACACACACACACACACACACATCTATTTAAAAAAAATTTGGGGGGGGGCGGGGATTTAGCTCAGTGGTTTTGCCACCTGCTGTGCAAGCGGAAGGACCTGAATTCGATCCCCAGTACCAAAAAAAAATAGTGCAAGGACCTGAGTTTGATCCCCAGTACCAAAAAAAAAAAAATTAAATAAAATAAAAAATTTTTAAACAAGGTCTCACTATGTAGCCCAGGCTGGCCTTGAACTCACCACAATCCTCCTGCCTCAGCCTCCTGAGTGCTGGGATTACAGGTGTGGGCTACCATGCCCAGCTGCAACACATTCATTTATTTTAATAAAATAATGCTTAATTTCAGGGGCAAGTTTTTTAATCACCCCCATCTCTTCCACCATGGACACTGAGTTATATAAAATGCTGAGTACCTACAACGAAATCATGTTTTTCCTCTTGAATAGATTTACATCTTTTGAGGAAATAGGGCGGCAATAGTACAAGCCTGAATAAAACCAAGGAATTTATATCTTATGAAAAAAATTCAAGTTATACTCAATTTTATGCCGGTGGCTTTAGAGAACCAAATATATACATTAATCACAAATATCTTTACACTCATGTAATCTTTTCACAAAAGCTTATCTCGAAAACATTAAGGTGATGAACTGGCAAACAACTTACATCATGGTTTGTTTTCACTTATATCGTGCTGAAAAACATGGAATACTCTAGTGTGAATTCGAAAGACTGAGTCCTCATAGAAACTGGAGATTTGGAGCTCTTTCTAGATCTGGAGTTCCTCAAGTGTTGGTGTGGAAACTCATGGTTTATTTGTTTTTATTTTTTCTGACACTCTCGACAGCAACAATAGTTTTAGCCCCTGTTTAAATAAATTAGTAACAACAATCGCTTCTATTTTCACATTAACTAACAGTTTATAAAACATTTTTTACACATATCTTTCTTTTTCGGTACCAGGGATCAAACTCAGGACCTTGCACTTTCGAGGCAGGCACTGGAATCAGTGAGCTAAACCCCCGGCCCTTTACACATATCTTTTTGATCCCCACAGCCACTCTTGAGATAGTACTGTCATTTTATTCATGATTTACAATGAGAGATACTGAAGTTC